ACTCGCGCACGACTACATAAATGCTGTGCTTCGCACCGCATTAAAAAAAAAAAACTCGCGACGGACTACATAAATGCTCCTGCTTCGCAGGGCATTAAAAATGCTCCTGCTTCGCAGGGCATTAACTAGATGGTATTCGAGTTTCGACTCGAATACGAAATGCGGTGCGAAGCACGAATTTCGAAGAAAACTACTTCTCAAATAAAGACGAATAGTCGTTCTCAACACTATCGTAATTCGTTTTCGCTGTGTGTAAGTTCGACTGTGATCGAAACTGTTTGCAGCTCAGTTTTCAATCGAAAACGAAACATTTTTATCAAAACAACTGATCTAACTTAGAATCGACATAAAAGCCATCAATTCTGAAATTCATCACTACGGGAACTCTCCCAAAGCCTATCCACAGATTTCTAGAAATCGCTATTCACTGATCCATTAATTATCTATATGATTCATTATCTAGTATCAGCTGTATTCACAGCTGCTTGACATATGAGAAAAGCGAGTGGCGCCTAACTTTGTTTTATGTTTTCGATTTTAATTATCTCAAAAGAAAATGGCAAATAAATATCTTCATATTTGTCATTTTCGGAAGCTGCTTATAAAGAAATTATACATGTTCATAAGAATTTTGATAAAAAAGGTAGCATTTCGATCTCGATACTTTGACTTCCCGTTGAAACGAGTATTTTCTGAGTTTCCGTTCTTGAGATCGCCGCGACACAAAATGATGATTTGTGTGCGTACGTTAGTTAAAAAGAAAAAAAAACTAGATGGTATTCGAGTTTCGACTCGAATACGAAATGCGGTGCGAAGCACGAATGTCTCGAATTTTCGAAAAAACAATATTTCGAAGAAAACGAAAATTCGATTGTCGAGTTAATAGAAATCGTCACTTCTGGTTGATTTGTGGACGGACTACCGAACATAGATACTTGTCTGTAGTACTCGAATTCGAAAAATTACTTTTTCACAACTCAGCTGATATAAGTCGTGAGAAAATTGAAAAGTACCATAATGAAATTCATCGCCAAGAGAACTCTATGAAAGGCTATGAACACTTTTCTGAAGGACGATTTCGATTGATCGTTTAATTATCTATATGATTCATTATCTACAATCAGCTGTAATTACAGCTGTTTGACAGATGAAGACGATACAATGGTCCCTAACTTTTCTCTTTATTTTTATTTTAATTATCTGGAAATGGAAGAAGCTCTAAGTTCTGTCAAATCCGTCTTTTTGGAACGATATTTGTGAATGAATGGAATGTTCGATTAAATATTGGAAAAAATGTTGCCGCAGTTCGATGTCGATACTTGTACCTCTCGTTTCAAGTGTTTTTTTGTGACTCTCGGTTTTCGAGATCATCGCGACTCAAAATGACGATTTGTAATGGGTATTCGAGACTGTTATGATATAAACATTTAGGAATTCTTATAAAATATTAAAATAATCTTCATATTTTTCATTTATAATAATAAAATATAGTTATCTGCAATCTTTTTAAATTCATCCTTGATGATTTACTTTTGTTTATATAAAAACTTTACTTATTCTATAAAGCAAGTCACTTTTCACATAAGAATTAATAAATTTTTTATTATAATATGTTTGAAAATGTTTCTTATCTCTATGTACTTTGATTAATCAATTACTCGAAAGTAGTTTTTGAAAAATAGAATTTTTTTATGAAAACTTGCGAAGTTTTGTCATTTGTGTAATAAAAAAAAAGTTTGAAAATTATCTACTATAGTTAAACGTTAATTGCATTGATATTTGCAAATGAGAAGTAGATCATAGATATATATTATGAAATTTATCCCAACAACTTTGACTAGAAATAATTACTATTATAATAAAGATTTTTTTGCATTTTAAAAGAACAATATTGACTATGATTGAATTATGTTTTTTTGATAAAAATAGAACGGGTAATTGAATTATAGGAAAAAATGATTCGATTTCCTGATATATAAATGAAAAATGATAGTTTTTGAAAGTAAGAATCATTTATTAAAATAATAAATAAATAATAATTATATAAAATGATTTAAAAATATCTTCATCTTATATATATAATATAATATTAAAACGATCTCACTAGTCATCAATTTAAATCAAAACTAATATATCTGTATTCGAACATATATTTAATATTTTCATTGAAATATTATTTTTAATTTTGAAAAAATTCTAAGAGAAAATCTGTATGAAAGAAAAAAAATCGACTCTGTTTTAAGAAGATCATTTGAAACGAACCAATAGAAATCTTCCTTTAGTTTTCTTTGTTAAAAATACTTTCATTTATCATATATTAAATGATTCAGTAATTATTCGTCATCATTATTTTTTTTTCTAAATTTAATTGAAACAAGACGTTGATTTAATTCAATAATACTCTTTTTATTTATTAATTACACGAAAAACGATGTTAAATTTTGGTGAATACTTTATCTTTGTTTTCTTTAAAATATTTAAGAATATTATGGAAGCATTTTCTATTTCAATTAGAACAATATCAAATAACAAATATTGTCAAACATGAATAAATGAATGTTTAACTTTTAAAATAAAAAGAATGTCTCGTTAAAAAGAAAGAGCAACGAATATAAATGATGATAGTATATATATATGTATATCGTGGTTATTTTGTTTTCGATTTGTTAATTAAAATAATATGTTCAATATTAGAGGTTTCTATTTAGTGTCTGTCTATCTATTAACCTAATGTTTGTTGGTTTGACTAATATTATCAAGTGAATTTAAAAAAAAAAAGAATGAAGATTATTGATGATTTTCTTGTGTTTTTTCTTGTAGATGATGACTTCAATGAACTAAGTCAAACAAAAGTACTTATTTATTTGTCGATTGAATCGATTTGCGAAAAAACACGAACGAAAGACAAAAAACAAATCTAAATGTATACCAATATAAAAATGATTGAATTGTCGTTAGAATAATATGTCAATGAACAAACACAGGCATATATGTTATTGAAAAAGGAATTACAAATAAAAACAATTTCGAGTGTATTTTTCAATAGATTTTCATTTACCTGATTTATTAATGTAAGTTTTTTTGATTTAAATCAATCCCAATCATTGTTTTTTATTATTTTAGAAAAAAAAGAAAGCAAAATATTAATTAACGATGATGAATCAGTTGAAATGTTATATTCAAAATTATGTCTTGATTTAAATATGGATATGGAACTAAACTTAGATGCATGGCGTTCATATGAACATATTCGTAATTATTATGCGTTAGAAGGCGATCAATTACATTGGTTAGCTGCATCATTATATGTATCATGTAGACGATATCCTCATATAACAACATATGATAATAATCCAATATAAATATTACGTTTATTAAAAAGTGGTAATCATTTAGAATTGTTTTTTTTCTTTTGATAAATTAGATAAATATGAATATGTGACCAATTTACTTGATTCAATTCGATCAAAAATTGATCAAGTTGAGAATGCATTTAATGGCTACTTCTTAATTGCGGACAAAATTTCAGCCCTCACCCACACTGTCGGCATGCTAATTGGTTTGATTTTCGTCCGCAATCAAGAAGACACGGCATTTAATATATTATCAAATACATTTGAAAAAATATACAAAAATATTGATTGATATATTTGGTGAAACTTAATATAAATTAATTTATTTCGATTATCAATATAAAAGAACATCAAATGAAATAAATCCTAAATTAAATACAAAAAAATTAATTAGATAAATGTTCACCTTAAGATTCATATTCATTTATTTCGACAATATATGTATTAACCAGAACAGTTTATCCATCAATTATAAATGATCTTATTGCTTCGTTTCATTTAGGTATTCCTTCTTTTTTTATTCATGATTATGCTAAATTAACGAAATTAGATTATTTAGCTAAAGATAAACATTAATTCTAACAGCGTTTTTACTTATTTTATTTATATTTATTATATACATATATGATTTTAATCGACTCTGTCTTACCTCAGTTGACAATTAAGTAGCATTTGTACTTTTTTTAAAATTTATTTGTTTCTTACTTCTTATCAAATTAAGATTTCACAAGAGTTTGTTTTTTTAATTTTATGTAAACTTAAAAAGTTTTATGTTTCTATATAAAACATACTTTATTTTAAAATACTTGTTAAAATCCTTTAGTATAAAAATCGATTTTATTTAATATATTTAGGTCATTTTTATTTAAAACAACATTTGAGATAAATATGAGACAAATTCCAATTTTATTTGCTCGATATAGAATTAAATTAAATTATATTTTTTTATTTAGAGATTTATAAATCTATTATTAAATAAAAACCGTTTCGAATGTTTATTTTCGAATATGTTTCGATCGTTTAGGAAAATTAAAAAAAAATTGGTTTTCTTAATATTATTATTAATGGATGAAAATGTAAATAATCGATATATGATGAACGATCATTTGAAATATTGATTGGCAATTCAATCGTTCTGAATTCAAATCGTTTAAATGATTTATAGTCATAACTGTGAACAATTGATTTATCATCATTTGTAAGTGATGTAATTAAGAGTAGGATTTGCAACTAATGATTATATTCATATTTAAATATGTTCTCGATATATGCATTTAAAAATATATTAAATCTGATTATAATTATCATGAATAATAATCAATGTTTGATAGATAAGTTATTTAAATATTAAGGTTATTTAGTTAGAAATAGATCTCTATAATAAACGACTTATTTTAATTTATTAGATAGAATTAAATAAAGATATTCATATTCGACTTTAAATATCATCATATTAAAGGAGTTGTTCAATTTCTTCTTTTTTTTCTTAAATAAAGTATGAAAACAATTCGGTGAAACGATGAAAGATTAGCTTAAGATTTTCATAAATCAAATATGTATTGTTCGAGTTGGTTATTATGTTATAAATCGATAGTTGTTTCGTAAACATAATATTGAAAGCTAATCGAACTAATTCAATTATTTTTTTGAAAGAATAAATAACAGTTAGAATATTATTCGATAATAGAAATAAGTTAATTAGAACGGATCTAATAAATCGTATAAATAGTTAAAAAAATTTCTTTTTTTTTCTTAAGGTTCTTGTTTAAATGAGTCATGTTCAAATGATAGAAGCATATTCGATAAATTATGTATGATGTATTGTTGTTCTTCAGATATGTGTCGATCGATAATCCAACAACATTTAAAAAATGATTTGTTTGAATGGCTTGATAAAAAAAGAAGAGTTTTTAAATGAATTTAATTGTTTGGTAACAATTCGTGATATAAACCATGAATATGATGAAATTGTTTTAACGAGTTCTACTATTGATGAAAGAATTTTTTTAGAATTATTTTTTAGTATAATCATATATGACTTCATTTTTCAGTTAATCAACATTTATAATTGTGTTGAGATTTTATCGATATATAATCGATATTATAGAATAGAATTAAAAGAAAATGATATCAATAATTTGATTGAAAATGAATAATAGATTTAAAAGAAAAAATATTCAATTAGAAATCAAAAGATATTTCCAATAGATGGTTTTCGTGACGATCAATAATCATTTATAAGTAATCTAAATCTTGAAAAGTTATTTCAATTAATCTATATTAGAGAGAGACGATTATCATCACTACTTTTTTGTTATTAACTTAAATAAATAAATATTTATTTTTATATAAGACATTCATTTTTTTAAATATTTTTTTAAAATAAAGACAACTTAATTAAAGTTAAAAGGAATTTTTGTTTCTTGTTGAAGATCTATTCTCTTTAAATTAGAATAGATTGAATAATATTTGTTTATGATATTCACGTTTATTTAAAATGATGATTATTTTAATGATATATAATATTTAAAACGTTATCAATAATTAAATAAACACTTAAAAAAGAACCAAGTTTTTGTTTTATTGTGAAATATATCAGTGAGTATTTATTTAATAGTCGATATGATGTAATAGAAAATGTATAGTCATCTGTTGTAATTCGGATCACTGTTCAAAAAAATCGATTTATCTCAGCCATTGAGCCGTATTAAGACTAGTACTTTTTCATGTATGTATATCAATAGATTTATTGAGCAGGTGCCTGCATAGGTATGAAAATAAATGAAGTGGCTTGAAAGTGACAGACAAATCACCTTGATTCTAGCAATATTGATATTGCATAAATATCATGTTCACAATCGAAATGAATTAAAATAAAGTAATTGAAATTCTTTTAAATGTAAGATGTTAACATATGTAATTAAATAATATTTCTTTTTTTTCCTCTTGTATAGGTCTAGGAAGAGTTGAATTGTAAGAATTCTAATTTTTTTTGCATATGTTTTTTAAAAATAGACAGTTGAAGTTCTTTTCTGCCTAAAAGTGATTCAGTAATGTACAAGCAATTTGATTTTTAAATGAAATCGATTTTTTTATATAAATAATATTTTAGGTAATCATAATTATAATGAGCTAAATAACAACGATTTATTGTATATAAAAGTCATTCAAGTGCAACATTAAAAAAAAATTAAATTATAATTTCACTTTACGTATATAACTGCAAACATTAGAATTTTATAACAAAAAATTTACAAAAAATTATTTTATACATAATAATGTTTTTTTTATTTTGTTATTGTCTTTGTTTGAAGCAAATCTTGTAACTTAATACTAATCTAAAAATTAAAAATAGTTTTTTTTTCGAGTTAATTTTTGAAATTAATTTAACATACTATTTTATCATCAAAAATATTACGATGATCTATTAATAAGACTTCGGTGCAAGATAAATTATGGGTAATCTGAAAATATGAATATTTCTTTTTTAAGTTAATATTAAAGATTTCTAGCGTACCATTTTATCACATAGTGTATTTAACAAATTTTTTTAAATAAAGTTTTCATCTAAGAAAATTTATTGTTGAGCTGAGAATAGTTTATTTTTTTCAAATAACATAGAGAATAGTTTAACTTACTATTATGTTGCGCGAAGTATCAATGTAATGTATTAGTAAGATCTTATTGTAAAACAAATGATTCGGGGATTGAAAATAAATTGTTTTTTGTTGAATTAATATTTTCTATACTTTAATATACTATTTTATTATGAGAAGCATAAAGATAATGTATTGATACGACCTTCTACTACTCGAAATATGGTTAAAATTACAAAATTTTTTTTTAAATAACATACAGCATACTTTGACGTACTATTTGATTTTGAGAATTAATAACATAATATATTAATAAGATCTTCTTGTAAGACAAAATATTGGCAATCTTTAAAAAAATTTCTTTTTTAATCAACATTGAAAATAGTTTAGCATACCGTTTTATTATCATAAGCATCAATATAATGTATTAATAACATATCGTTGTAAGACAATTTATTGTTGATCTGAAAAAGTAGAATTTTTTTTCCAAATTATATTATATATATATTTGATTTTACCATTTTATTGTAACATATAACAAATTGAACTGTTAACAAGATTGTTATATTTTTGGCAAATCAGTGCTAATAGAAAAAACAAAATTTAGTAATCCATTTAATTAATGTGACAAATATTTGAGTTATCAGTTTATCATGAAAATTACAGAACCAACATTTAAACAGAATTTTGGTACAAGTGAAAATCATTAATTATCAGCAATAAAATTTTTTTTTCCAATTAATATTTGAAATATTTTTACCAATCATTGTAATATGAAAAGTATTGAGATAACTTATTAATAAAATCTCAATGTGAAACAAATGATTGAATATTAAGTAGTTTTATAAATGTGTTAATATTATATGTCTCATAAAATAATTGATTAGTTGTTGGCTGAACAGAAAAGTATTCGTGAGATGATAGATGACATTACGAAATTGTTTTTATAATAAATAAAATACAACATAATGAAAAGTTAGATAAAAGTATACATAAAAAAACAGTAAATAAACATAAAAGAATAACACATAGATGAACCCAGTAGAGTTTAAGTAAACAGATAATTAGAAAATATGTAAAGAAAGGAAAAAATATTATAAAAAAAAAAAAAATAAAATTAATCAAGTAAATAAAATATGTTCAGACGAAAGAAAGGCTGGGCTCCCATCAATAGAAACAACACTATCGTAATGTGGCATATTTGGATCATAACAGAGATGTAATTGATGTTCAAGAAAGTCGGAGCCAGGAATAAGTATAGGTTTTTTTTTGAATTCATGAACAATTATATTTTTATTGATGATAACTGCTGTAGATGAAAGTGCGAGATGGTCAGCATATGTTCCATCTTTACTCATTTCTTCAATATAATTTTCTATTGTTGAATACATTTCATCAATAAATGATGCAAAA